CTTATAATCTCAAATTATTATATGACTATAGTTAAAAATGTAAAGAATTTAAGAAGATTTTCGAGATTATTTGAGATAGGGCTTATATAATCAACTACACAATTTATATAGAAGAATTGTAAATGAAAAAAAACTAAATTGAATGAAATTTTTAATTATGGCTGGAATGCAATAAATTTGAAACAAAATAATAAAATATTGAAAAATTATTTTCAGGAGTCAGCTTCTTCCTTCTATAAATAAAAAAAAAATTTTATGAGAAATTAGCATTAAGATGGAAGATTGAAAATTAATATTAAATTTTGAATAAAGAATTTATTTAGCATTATCCTTTAATGGAACTAGAAAAAAAATTTTATCAAAATTATTTACTTTCTTTATTAGATTTTTGAAAGAAAAAAAAGTTAAAGATTTTAAAGCTTAATTTTGATTTTTCTTTTTATTTACCTTTAATGTTGATCTCTCTTTTTATAATCTATAAATGTGTATTGATAAGAATTTAGAAAATTCTGTAAAATATTTTAGCACATCACTCAATTAATTATGTGTACAAACATCTCAATTTTGAATAAATAATACCTTAGGCCTTAATAAAATTTTGTATTAAAGAATTAAAATAATAAGATTAATGCAATCTTTACTTATTTAACAATCATTGATTAATTAATTATTTTATACTTAATAGAAATAAATAAAACAATTTAAGAGTTCAAATTAATTCTTAATAATCTACAGAAAGTTTCTAATACTTAATAAATGTATTTTAGAAAGGGTTTTAGTTTATGAAATATATTAGAGAATTTGGATAATTTTTTAAAATGATAAAATTAAAATATTATGCAGACTGTTTTAATATAAACTAGATTATATTATAAATAATACAATAATTGGGCTATGTCTTGAGATATGTTTAATTGATTCCAAAAATAATTCTATTTTAGTTTTTTTGTTGGTTTATCCTGCTCAACTATTTTAATATTAATAATGGTCCAATTATACATATAATTAACTATCTGTAGACTTTTTCAAGACAATAATTTAGAATTAATAATGATTTACATACTTTCTACTCAGCATTACCTCATTAATTCATATCCTCAATATTCAATTACATGAATTCCGAAGCATATCTGTTGATTTAAGTATACTATAAGATATGATTTAAGAATAAAAAGAATAGATTATGTGAGACAAGATTACTTTATTGTATTTGTATATGTTTATAATAAAACAAAGTATTTATGATATCATTAATGATCAGATTATTTATTTTGTAACTCAACTAAAATTAATAAATTTTAAATTTCTCTACCTATTAGCTTTCCAAATATATTTAAAGTAACAGTGTTACAAAATTATTAAAAATAATTCATCTATATTCAAGTAATATATATAGATAAATTTTATTTTAATCCAAAGAAATGCAATTATAAGATGCAGATAATAATTAACAAATTATTAATAAATAGATATATATGATATCATGCAGAAATATCTTTTCTAATCTTATTTCCTTTATTCTATTATCAATCAAAACATTAATAATTCACCATAATCGCCAAAAGTTCCATAAATCAAATCATAGTAATTATTTCATAGAAATTATTTATTTTTGAAAATGAATTAATATTTTTAAATTATTAAGATTATGCTTGTCTAAATCTAAATAAGTACTAATTAATAATTCAGATTCTACACATTAAAAATCTTATTTATAATTTTTGTTTTTTCTTAATAATGATAAACCAAATAAGTAAATGGATTAAAAAAAGTATTATCACCTGTAATAATTCACAATTTGCTTGTTATTACTATAATTCTTGAATTAGAAAATTAAAAGAATTTATACAGTTTAATTTAATACAATTTATTTTTTAAACCAATAATCTCATTTATAATTTTTTGGTTTTATCATCCTAAGTTATTAAATATTCTGGTTGTCACTTAATTGACCAAATATAAGTCCTGTTGATTCTTAACCAAAGCAATTCAACAATAAACTTTACTTTTTATTACTTTTTAGACTCCTTCTCTTTTCTAATGATCATTTTTATGATATTAATATGAAAGCCATATCTATATATTAAAGTTGAATTTCATTTTTCTTTAAAGCATAAACTAATGATATTACATGGTTTTCTTGAAATGATTTCACACTAGTGAAAAGTATATTTAAGGATTATTAAACTCTCTTGTTAGCTTTAGCTCTAAATAAAAAACTTTTAAAGCTTTGTTATAATTAAAATTAGAACATATATATCCTTCTTCAAATAAATTGATTGCATATTCGAATGATTTCACTAAATGGATAGAGATTTTCTGAAGAGATACTCTAAAGTTTAAAAGCGGTTTATTTTATAGAATTATTTTTATTGTTATGATAAATTAATCAAATAAACTATATAAGAGTTATTAAAAAATTATGCTTCTAAATAGAAATTCTACTTGACTTTGAACAGAATTGTCTAAGAAATAAAATATTTTAGAAACTATTTCCTTTCCTATTTAAATAAAACTTGACTTTAATCTATTTCAAAACCTAATTACTCTGCTAATCCACTTCAAAATACTTTTTTTGTTTAAATTAAGTAGTGTTATTATTGAATATGTAAAATATTTGTTTACTCTTTTCTAGTCATAATTAATAATTATAATTTGATTTAAATTCAATATCTATTTTTTATATAAATTGTTGAGGAATAGTTTTAGTTTATTATATATATGTCCTTTATCATCATTAAGAATATTTATTACGTATATAATGATATTCAGATAAATAGATTTAAACCCTCTAATAATATAAAAACTATTAAATTCACTATATACATATGCAATGATGGTAAAAAAGACTTCCAATAACTTTAATGATAGGTCTTGTTTGGCATTTATTTAATAATTCATTTCTTATTATTGAAAAACTAATTTATATTTTATAAAGCCTATCATGTAGAATATTATATTATTGTGAATTTAATTATGGCTCAAATTGAAAATTCTATGTCTAATGCACAACCTTTCATAAAAACATTCTCACAATTTAAAATTGCTGCTCAAGAAGCTACTAACTAACTAATAAGAAATATATTACTTGACTCGACTCATAATATGGTCCAATTAATAAATCTTGTGACCTTATAATTTGATAATTTGCTTAAGTGATTGACAGATTTATAAGGGAGAATTGAAATTATTTCTGAAAAATAAAANATATTCAATTACATGGATTCCGAAGCATATCTGTTGATTTAAGTATAATATAAGATATGATTTAAGAATAAAAAGAATAGATTATGTGAGACAAGATTACTTTATTGTATTTGTATATATTTATAATAAAACAAAGTATTTATGATATCATTAATGAACAGATTATTTATTTTGTAACTCAACTAAAATTAATCAATTTTAAATTTCTCTACCTATTAGCTTTCCAAATATATTTAAAGTAACAGTGTTACAAAATTATTAAAAATAATTAATCTATATTCAAGTAATATATGTAGATAAAATTTAAGGATTATTAAACTCTTTTAGCTTTAAGCTCTAAAAAAAGAAACTTTTAACGTTTCCTATATTTAAAATTAGACTATATATCCTTCTTCAAATAAATTGATTGCAAATTCGAATGATTTCACTAAATGGATAGAGATTTTCTGAAGACATGACTCTAAAGTTTAAAAGCGATTTATTTTATAGAATTATTTTTATTGTTATGATAAATTAATCAAATAAACTATATAAGAATTACTAAAAAATTATGCTTCTAAATAGAAATTCAACTTGACTTTGAACATAATTGTCTAAGAAAAAATTATTTTAGAAACTATTTCCTTTCCCATTTAAATAAAACTTGACTTTCATCTATTTCAAAACCTAATTACTCTGCTAATCCACTTCAAAATACTTTTTGTGTTTAAACTAAGTAGTTTTATAAGATTATTGAATATGTAAAATATGAGTTTACTCTTTTCTAGTCATAATTAATAATTTTAATTTGATTTAAATTCAATATTTATTTTTTATAAAAATTATTGAGGAATAGTTTTAGTTTATTATATATATGTCCTTTATAATCAGTAAGAATATTTATTACGTATATAATGATATTCAGATAAAAGATTTAAACCCTCTAATTATATAAAGACTATTAAATTCACTATATACATATGCAATGATGGTAAAAAAGACTTCCAATAACTTTAATGATAGGTATAGTTTGGCATTTATTTAATAATTTATTTCTTATTATTGACAAACTAATTTAAAATGATAAATAATAATTTACTGAAAAATTGTTTAGACAATCCTTTCAATCAAATATCAAAATTGCTCTGCAGTTTAAATTTATATATTCAACATTTTTGACTTATTTGATAGCATTATGAAATTTTTAAGTAATCAAATAAATATTAATGTTTTACAATTATATGTATAATTGTTAAAGAAAAACTTATTTCAAAAGAAATAATAAAAAATTAGTATTCAAATCAACATTTTAGGCATATTTCCCAAATATTAGTGTAAAGCTTTTTAAATATTCCTGCAACTATATTTTTGATCAAATAAGACTGCTGACTTTTGGAGATGGAAAATATGAAGTTTTACAAATTATAACATTAACTAGAATTGCTCATAAACTAATTGAATATAAGGTTGATAAATTTACATATAATTCTATTATTAAAATATTCATGATTGAGACAATATATAAAAAATACCAATAACAGTTAGTGCAAATCAAAGAGCAATGTCAAGAAGCCTCAAAAAAATTAAAAAAGCTTTTTAAGAAGGAGCTGCAATAAAAATTGATAACAAGGAAATTATGATAATATATAAGTACAGTTCATGTTTACAGTTTAGCAATATATATCAATTATCTAATTAAGTCCATTAAGAGGTCGAAACTGCGTAAGTTAATCGCCGTCTTTATTCACCTAATTATAAGATAGTGGATCAATAATTAATAGAAATTTATATAGATCTTTTGAAAGAATTCATTAATGATATTTGCTACTAAGTTGATAAATTTAAATAGGAAAAAGAAAGCGTATCAATACCAATATTATATTCAAGGTACTCTTTATTGTTACAAAAACATATCACAATTATAAAGCTTATTCATATTGGCTTTAAAAAATTTTCTATTATTTTGATAATAACTTTACATCATATTCTTGAACATCTCTTGTTGCCATCTCTATAAATTTATTTAAAAACAAATATTTTGATAAATTTAATAAGCTAATCCTGAATACAATTTTATAGTTTATATACGAAACAAGAAAGTATGGAATATTATTGAATAAATAAATCAAACAACTCATTGAGTTATTTTCTATCATGGGTTCTAAAGAAGTTGAATTGAAGTATATACGAGAATCTGGACAATTATATTTCCAAAAAATAAAGATTCTACAAAGAATATTTTTAATCTCATCTTTTAACAGAGGTAAAGTTTCTTTCTATTCTTAGACTTCAAAATATTATATGAATGAAATAGATGATAAATTAAATTTAACTACTACAGAGTTTATAAATTGGGCAAATTCCACTTTCAAATTGGAATAGGATATGTGTTTGGAATGCTATCCAATTAGTTATTAAGCATTAAAAAATAAATTAAAAATGATACTAGTCAATAATCAAGCAGCTAGATTAATCGATTCGCCTACAGGACTAGGTTATATGTTAAAATATGACTAGACTGATGAATTAAAATTATTATTCAAATTCCTAATTCAAAATAAGGAATGCATAATTTATATATCCAAATATTTTGAATAAAAAGGATAGCTTATAAATAATTCATTTGAAAATTAAGAATAAATAGAATAATAAAAAAGTAATTATTTAAATTTATTTAATTTTTAGATGAAGCTGAACTCTATTTCACGAATATATTATTATTAATGGAAAAAGCTTAAGATATTTTTTTAAATTAATTGGAAAAAGAACCCGATGTTTAAAGATTATACAAAGAAGCATTAATGTATTTGGTAAATAAACATGAAAAATCTCCAAAATTGTTAGCCATATATATTGATATCATTATAAGAAGAGAGAAAGGAGGAATGGAAATAGAAAGTGATAAAAGGTTGACCTAAATTGTTTCTCTCTTTAAATTACTTTATCAACGAGATATTTTTTTTAACCATTATTACAAACTATTATCCAAAAGATTGCTCAATCAATAGATTTAAAATCTCTATTTAGAGAAGTAACTTATTTAAAAATTCAAAGGTGAAGTTGGTACAAATGTTCTGTAATATTTTTAATTATTCTTAGAACAAAATTATCTACCATGATTTAAGATATTGAATTATCAAATAGATTTAACATTGATTAATCAATCAGCAAAAATATGCAATTTGACTTAAATGTGGTTTTGCTTACTGATGGGTGTTGGCCTATTACTAATATTTAAGATAATATCATTAGGCCACTTAAAATTTAGAATATTTTGGAGTTTAGATTTACTTATTGTTTTTTAGGAATTACGAAAAAATTTTTGAAGATCAAAACAAAGGAAGAATACTAGAATGGTACTTTAATTTGGGACAGGGAGAATTGATATATAAAATGTAAACAGAAAAATACTTCTTGAATGTGAATACATGTAAATGATTGCTTTCCTTTAATTCAATAAAGCAGATTCATTCTCTATCAAATAAATCTTAGATATGACTAATATTGAGAAGTAAATTTTAGAAAATTCATTGATCCCTTTTGTTTGTATGAAGATAATAACGAGAGAAAAATAGGACATTGAAGATTTTTCAGATGAAAATGAAGTTCTAAAATTAAACATGAGTTTCACAAAAAGGNTTTTAATAATAACTAATATTAGATGGAGATTATGATCAAAGAACTTGATAATCTATTGAATTCTTAAAATAAAGAAACTGAAAGAGATTCAAAATTAACAATTATCCAGCTTCATCAAATTTCTATATTATAAATTATCAAATGAGTATCTACTTAGAGTAATTTAATTCCTTTTAAGAATATCAAGAGTTTAGCAAATTTTAGAAATGATGACTATTATTGATAAAATTAGAGTATAGAATTCTATGTTGGAGTCTTAAAAACAAAAAATTAAACATTTACATTTGATATAATAGCATAGAATTCTATCAAATAACCTGAATATTGAATTAATTGGGAATTAACTTTTTTTAATTTAGAAATATTAAAAGGATATAATGACTCTATCTTTAAACTTGATTTCTTCAAGATATTAAAGAATTAATTCATCTCATGATCTTGAGATGACTCCATAATGATATGGTTAAATAAAAATTAGGAGAGCACACTTCCTCCATATTTTGTTTATTCTCTAATTTGAAGTTGAGGAATATAATTCTATTTGTTAAAAATTATCATTTTACTTTAAAATAATTATTTTATTAATTTAAGAAATCTATAAAATATATAATGTTGAATATGTGGATATTAGAATATGAATTAAAATTTAATTTTTAATAATAATATTTGAATTTTTATTTCAATTAGAAACTTCAAACAATTTTTAATAATTATTATAATACTCTGTTTTTATCTTAAAGTAATCTAACCCATTTTTCTTTAACAATAAAATTGCTTTTTAATAAATTAATTACCATGAGGCTTTATCACTTATACAATGCAATTCTAAATAAAATAGAGCAATAATTGTTGTCCATAAAATTTCTTCATAATGATTATCATTATTTAAGCTGCTGAGTTTGATTGAATCACCAAACTTTTTGTTTAAAATAAAGCTTCCATCTGCCTAAACACATTATAATAAATCAATATAATTTATTACAACAGCAGTTTCTTAACTATTTGGAATAATGATATTATTAAGACTGCTTCGTTCCTACATTTACTCAAATTCCATTAGTTTTTGCGGTTAATCATCTTAATCTATCGAAGGACTTTTACAACTCTTTTTCTCATATGAATCTAAATCTTCTCTATCCATACACATATTTTGTTATATACTGCCTAACTTTAAATCCATACAACATTATTATTATTCATAACACTCTTCATCATCAATACAACATTATATATCTAAACAACCTAGCTTATTCATAACAAATGATGGGTTTAAATCTATACGTTATTAAATAGAGTAATCTAAACCTTTTCTCAATTATTATACTTGAAAAGTTTGATTTTGATAGAATATTTTTTCTTTAATTAATTATTTAAATTCATCTTCCAAATGACAGATTTAGCAAATATAAGCTGTGTTTTTGGATAAAATTTAATTTTATATTGATAAATTGATGATATCTTCATTATTGAATGTAACTTAATTGACCTTTATCTTATTGACTTAATTTATTCTGTTTTATAAAGAATATTCATAATAATTTATCAATTTATGAGCTGCAAGTTTATGAAAGTAATCTTACTACTATGATTCATTTATTTTCAATTCGAATTTGTAAGATATTTGTGTTTATTTCTAAGGGTCAAAACATTTAATCTGAAAGTCTAGTGAATTTTAGATTGGAGTTGGAAATAATATTTATATAACTAATTCTTCATTTTTTTTTATAGCAGTGATTGATTCTGGATCAGGAATAATTTATGAAATATTAATTTCTGGTAATTCTAACTTAAATCCCTCCAAATATTAAGTCATAGAATCTTCTAACAAATCAATTACTTTAACATTAATATCTTCATTATCTGCGACAAATTGACATTTACCATTTCCAATTTCTGCAATATTTTTTAATAAATACTAACTACATCCATCTCCAATTCCTAATGTATAGATCCTAAAATTAGATTTAGTTTAATTTTGAACCAAATTTAAAATTTTTTCTGGAGAATCTTCTCCATCAGTCAACAAAAAAGCATTATAAGTTTCTAAATGACTTTTACTATCTTTATCATTATAAATGCCATTCTTCAATGCTGAAAAAATATCAGTTCCTCCTAAATCTGCGTCCATAGAATTTACTTAAGAAATTGCTTCATTTAAAGATTTCTAATTATAAACTTAAGATTTTTCAAACATTCTTTTCGGTTAACTTCCAAAAGATATAACATTAAATAAACTATTTTCTGGTAAACTTTTTAAGAATAAAATTAATGATTGCTTTGCTTTCTATATTCTTTACCCTTCCATCGAACCACTTCTATCAATAAAAAAATAATAATTTCCTCTATTTATTTTTGTTTCTGAAGATAAATTTAACCCATTTATGTATGATGAATAAGCATCATCCAAAGGTACTTCATTAAATTTTGGTATTAATGTTAAGGTAGCACAATATTTAATATGTTATAAGGCATCATTATTAGTATGAGTAAGAAAAGAATGAGGTGAATTGACATCATCAGATGAAAATAACAGCTCAAATTTTTTATTTGGGAGAAAGTTATTTGGATATTTTTTATCAAGAATGATTATTTAATTTTTTGTAAAGTTTTCTTTGACAAATTAATTATCATCATTATTAATTAAAATTTAATGGGTTGGAGACTTTACAAATGTTATAGGTTTCTATAAATTAATATTTATTGTGATATCTTATTAATAGTTTTATTAGAGACCTTGAAAATTCACACTTTTTTATATTTAATTATATAATTAAGGATAATTGACTGATTAGTTTTTTAACTAATAGACTGTAAGATAACTTGAATCTACCATTGGTGATAATTCAAGCATCCAAAATTAATTTAAATACACTTTTAAAGGCTGAATATATTCAAAAGTTATTTTTAAAGATTTTCCAGGAGCTAAACAACCAATCTTTACTTTTTTTAAATCAGTTATTTATTTATCCTATTCACCTAAAATCATAGTTTTTCCAGCTTATATGCCTTGTTGATATTCTTTTTTTGCTTCCTTCAATTCTTTTACAATGCCAAAGACTTTTATATCACCTAATTCTGCTACCATCTTACTAACAACTGAATCCTTTTAGATAGTAAACATATATTCTAATTCAATTGGAACTTCATAATGCTATGTGTTATAATTCTATTATATTTCAACAATTGCCAAACCAGGTTAGACATTTACAATATAATGTACCGATTAGAGTGATATTGGTAATTTATTCACAACATCAAAACAAATAAATAAAGGAGGAGCATTAACCTCACTTAATTTTGATTCATTTTCATGCATTGACACTTAAATTTTTGGATGATACATAATAATTATTAATAACTCTATCAATCTAAAAATACTGATAAATATAATCTTTTTTTGTTATATTTATCATAATTTATCAGAAGATATTATGCTAAATTTTATATATAATTGTATTAATCATATATGACATCAGCTAATTAATATTCAATGATTAATACATTATATATGATATTTATAGTAATATAGAAATAATTCTTATAAATGTATTAAATGTCATAAAAATGTAATATCTTGTTGTTGAAATAATAACAAGATTAATATAAGACGAGACTATAAAATGGCCATAAATTAAATTTAAAATGATTATTAAATAATTAAAGTGTAATTCTCTGAAAAAAAATAATACTCTACCATACTTAAATCCATTATCAATTAAAATCCTCTAAAGTAACTTAAATATTTTTGAAAGATGAACTCATAATAATTAATGATTTAGAATGAATAATATGATTCATTGAATGTTTTAGGTGTAATACTTTAATTAATTTTAATTGAATATAAAAATTTGAGAGATTGTTTTAATTGGAATAGCATTTTCTAATTCATTAAACTTAATAATTAGTTATTATTGGATTTCAAATACAAAGCTAAAAGAAATATAGAAATAATTTGAGATATTAGATTAATAAGATTATATTAATTTAATCTTTTGAATTCTAATACCCCTTTAATCACATAGTCTTGTTAAATATAATCTTTAGTTGATATTATAAGAAAAAGAATAGAAAATTGGATAATCTTTTAAGATACCTTTTATGATGATATAGAGAAAATAAGAAAAAATTTAGAGGATTAAGTTAATGATTATAACCAAAAATTATTTTAGTAGTTATTTTCCATTAAGTATATAAATGTTATCTCTATATATCAATTCTTCAGATATTAAAGGAATAAAAAGATAGTTCTCTAATTTGAAAGAAACTCAATTGTAAGTTATATATATAAAAGAAATTGAAATGATATATTTACAAGATGGAGAAATACTTAGATGGTATTTGAAAATATTTATAATTGAAGCTATGAGATATAAGATTTTTATGATAACTTTAGATAATGAAAGACTTACAATAGATTAAGCAGCTAAATTGGCATGGTTAATATAATTTGAATTCATAAAAGGAAGGCAAATGGTATCCAACTTGGAAGGGAGAAAAATTAGATGCTGGAGGGGATTATTTATAAAATGGATTAAAGAATGGTGAATGGAAAAAGTTAAGCTAAAATCTCTGGGAGTAATTTGATATTTTATGTTTTAGCAAAGCTTAAGTATTTGAAAAAGGGAAGTATGAAAATAATAAAAAATGTGGTATTTGGTATATTATCCAAAATAATTAATTACTGTATTATAATTTAACAATCATTAAGAGGTGAGGGCTCTTATTCATAAAATGGCTTAAAAAATGAGTGATGGTTTGATTTACATGAAAATTATCATGATTATTTAATATTATCTATTGAATAGAGGGAATCAATTCATTCTTAATGGAGAGTAATTGGAAGGATAAAAGATTAACCAGTGGAATATACTATAAAAGGGGAGATAAATGTAAGAAGATTTCTTTATTTTTTAAGTGATGGAGGATATCATAATAAAATAGGAAAAAAAGGAAGGTAATTGGATAGAATTGCATAATAATTTTAATGAGTATAAATATATTCAAAATGTAGAAATAATCAAATAATTGAGTCAGGAAAATAAGAAAATGGAAACAGAATTGAATAATGGGATTTTAAATTTGAAGGAAAAAAAAATGTACAATATTGATATTAATATTAAAGTGGTGGTGGATGATACTCTCTCGAAGGAAATAAGAATGGAATATGGAAAGAATTACATAACTATTATTCTAATTATTCAATACATAATTAATGGCTCCAGTTTCAACAGCATAAGATGAATATTATAGTCTTTATACTCAATAAAATATGAAAGATTAGCTAAATACAGAATACTTCTATGAAATTTAAACAAATCAAATTAGTAAATCTTGATATCAAATCTTTTATCAGTAATACTTTAAATGAAAACTATTGGAATTAAAAATGTGCTGATTTTTGATTTAATTAATAAACCTAATATGGAATTACTTCTTGACGAGTAAAATCAAATTAATAAGTTGCTGCATCATTGCATTCTTGATGATCCTGATTATCTGAAAATAATTATCAATCTTCAGTGAGTTAATAAAAGCTTTTTAATTTCTATATTCTGCCTTAGTAATCTTACAGTCTTTTTCGAAAATAATTTCTATCTTTAAGTACTTTTCATAATGTTTCATTAACTCTTTGCCAAATTATTTTTCTTGATTAATACTTTTAGGAGGCTCTTTAGGTTTTTTGGCTTTTTTTATCAATCACCCTAAAGATATTTTAAATATTTTCTCTTAAAATAAATATAGACCATATTCTTAATTTAAGGAGTTAAGGAATTGAAATCAGATGAATAAGATTTGTCAATTGATAATCCTTTACTTAAATATCTTTGGAGTTTATGCTTTATAACATTTGTACATATAGTTACGTTTTGTTTATTTCCTCTGGTAATTCAAATAATAAAATTGTATATTAAATCACTTTTGTTCTAAATAAAACAAGAATATTTTGAGATTGAT